CTAACGCACCTCGAGAGCGCGCTGAGCCACTGAAGTGCTACTTCATGTTGGGTTTGAGCACTACTGCATGACCAACTCGCACAGAGCTTGACAAGGTAAGTGTTCCGAGCTGGTTACCGTTCTGGAGTCCCTACTCGAGCAGCACCTTCTTTTTCAAAGTGCATGTACAGTTTCTAAGATGATAGCTTGAAATAGCTTCCATAACCGCCATCCCGTGGTTTGTCATTACACCGCTACCTGGGAGAACTGGAAGTCAAATACATAGGCCGAGGCCGCGTGCTAGGCACATACGGTAGAGTTACTCAGTGAAGCGATCACTCACGGCAAAGCCTCCATGGGAGCCCCACAATCCTCCGTTACCCGCAAGCGCCCTTTCCTTGTGTAATCTCGCAGCCGCGGCGGGGAGCGGTATAGCATATCGGACCCACCCATATTTCATTTTCGAGACCCGTCTGGAGGCCCTGGGACACCGACGACCATCGCACGCCGCTTTCATGGGCTGCGTCGTTACACGGGGCTGCAAGAATGTCTTCACGGAATAACGGCTCACCTGCTACCCTAACTTGTGGTAGTCCGGGTACCGATACTTGTGGCAACCAATCACATCTAGACGTATGTGCATTCGATCCGGCCGAGCGAATGGTTGTCAGATCATCACGAGCAACGAACAATACTCACTGTGATACAGGTATACAGTGGCAGATTTAGATGGTAACCGTGACACCTTGAATCTGTAGCACACAGATCATCCTCTGTAAAAACAGGAACGGATCGGAGGATTCCATGTTATGTGGACGAAAAACTCGTACGTACCTGACCGCGCATGTAACACAGTTATAGTGTTCGCAAGCAGTGTCGTGAGCGTGTTTAAAAGCAGGCTCACTGTACGTAGATTCCAAGCAAATATATGTGCGATAGAGGATGGATTGCGGGCGCGGTGGTGGAAGAGCGCGAGGCCCCAGTGCGGAAGCGGGCGCGCGTGGCCGATTTGCGGGCGCCATATATGTGGCTCGTACCTTTAGACTCCGCCATCATTCTCCCTCGCCCCGCCCCGAGCGGCTTAGCGTCCCTGTCCTCGACATTCCCCTCCATTTATCCCTCCTCTCCTCCTCCTCCTCCTCGTCATGGCCACCCCCCACGTAATAGCCTCCTCGTCCGCCCACCACGGCACCCAATCTGGGACGTCGAATGGCATCGTGGGTGCGCACTTTCGGGTTGGCAAGAAGATAGGCGAGGGCTCGTTTGGTGTCGTTTTTGAGGGTATGGTTCTGCGAGCTAGTTCGATACAGGGCGTTTGACGAATACTCTCATGCAGGTACCAACCTCCTCAACAACCAGCCCGTTGCCATCAAATTTGTACGTGGAGCGGGATACCCTTCGCATGCGTTGTCCTCATAGTTGCCCTAGGAACCTCGGAAATCGGAGGCACCACAACTCAGAGATGAATACAGGTCATACCGCACACTCAATGGAACTCGTGTGTCCTCTTCATTACATGCGTGGGTCGGTGCTGATCAGTTTGTTCAGCTGGTGTCCCCCAAGTACACTATTTCGGTCAAGAGGGCCTGCACAATGTCCTCGTCATTGACTTGCTTGGCCCGAACTTGGAGGACCTCTTCGATATGTGCGGCCGCAAGTTCACAATCAAGACTGTGTGCATGGCTGCCAGACAGATGGTGAGCGTTATGTGACCTATTCGTTTGTGTTTTCCCTCCCTTCGAGACTTGCGCGTAGTGGCACAGCCAAGGACGTGAGATGTCATCATCCTGGGCTCACATCGAGAGGTTATCGGGATTTCCTCATTTACACCCGCCGTGGCCCGAATGGCTCGCTATCAGGGCGACATCCCTGTATACGGTAATGCTGTGGCGTCACTTTCCCTCGGTGTCCGTTCCGGAGGCCTGCCTCCACACATGGGCGCTCCGGCTCTTGCAACGCGTTGCATACCAACAGGCACATTCCCTCCGTCGTGCGCACAGGACGAGCTGCGCCGAAGCTCCGTGGCGCGTCCCTTCGGCCCGCTCGCTGCATGGGTGTGGCAGCCTGTATCGCCGTGCCCTTCGACTGCTGATCTCGCAACCTGAGAATCCTTTCAAGCTGTAATGAGCAAGGTCCGCTGAACAGCCAGTAGCTCCGTCACAACTCCACTATTTTTTGTTACAGAAGACAGTAAAGTTACATTGTTGGCTTACCAAACTTACAGGTCACCCGCGTGCAAGCTATTCATGAGAAATCCCTCATTTACCGTGATATAAAGCCAGACAACTTCCTGATCGGTGTCCCAGGATCGAAGAACGCAAACACCATTCACATCATCGGTATGTCCGCTGTCATGAACCTTGTGCTCCGCTGTACCTTCGTGGGTGGGCGCCCGCGTCACTCGTGATCTGCGTCTTCCCCCTACGTGTTTACGGGCGGACTTTTTCCGTGTATAGTGAGGTGAAGGGTTGTCTCACTGCGTGCTTACCTCCACTTAGATTTCGGTATGGCCAAACACTACCGCGACCCCAAGACCAAGCAGCACATTCCTTACCGCGAGCGCAAGTCGCTATCCGGCACAGCCCGGTACATGTCAATCAATACCCACCTTGGCCGCGAGCAGTCGCGCAGAGACGACCTAGAGTCGCTTGGCCACGTCTTCATGTACTTCCTGCGTGGTGGCCTGCCCTGGCAGGGTCTGCGCGCCGCCACGAACAAGCAGAAGTACGAGAAGATCGGCGAGAAGAAGCAGAGCACGCTGATAAATGAATTATGCGAGGGTTTCCCTGGTGAGTGTGAAGGGTTGGCAGCGTGGCCTAGCTCATGTGCGGCGCAGAGGAGTTCGCGATCTACATGAACTATGTCCGGAAGCTCGGATTTGAGGAGACGCCGGACTATGACTTCCTGCGCGAGTTGTTCACCAAAGTGTTGAAGACGCTTGGTGAGCCGGACGATGGCGTCTTCGACTGGATGCTTCTGAACAACGGCAAGGGCTGGGAAGCCGGACACGTACGTATCACTTTGCAGATGCTGCAGTGTCTACTCATTCCGTTTCGCATAGACCCCTTCTAACTTGCTTGTTCAGGCCCATGCTACTGCCGCCGCACCGCATACTCCGCGCGACCACCGGCGTGGACAAGACGGTCACCGGCGCAGCCGTCCAGCATTGCAGGAGGCCGCGCCGTCCCCCTCATCTCAAATGGTTCTTGCACCCACGCCCGCACACGTCAAAAGCAGCAGCCGGCGCGCTGCTGCGCCGGACGCTACGCGGGCCAACTCGCGCGAACATGCATCCGTGCAGCCGCTGGCACCCACGAGCAGACGTCACAGCCAGCAGCATGTGTCGCGCACGGAGCGGGAGAGCCAGGCGTTAGCGTCTCACCCGTATGCAGCTACGCCAAGTCCTGGCGGGTACCGCGCAACAGCGTACGACCGCGCGTCGCCTAATGGTGGAACCCCCGTAGTGAATGTGCAGGCTAACGGGACCGACTCGTTCGTGTATGGACAGCAGGGCAAGAACGGGACGAACTCGCGCGAGGGCACCACCACCGCGGGTACGGCGGCGAACCGTGAGACGTTGGGCGGCACAGGCACGCGCGGGATGGGTATGTATGACCGGGAGCAGATGGCAAGGGTGGGAGAGCAGGACGAGCATGGCGGCAGGAACCGGGGTTTCTGGGCTGCGTTCTGCTGTCGCGGATGAGCGTGTGCGAGCCTCGTCGGAATCGTGCGTTGTTCACTCGGGTGCAGCGGTGGAGAGTACTGATCTGCGGCCCCCTGACAGGCGTTACATGCGGCTACTCTTATGACCACGTCACGATCACCTTCTACCTTATCCTATCCTGGCCCAGCCCTTCCTTCACGACCCGTTACGATGAATCATCGAGCTTGCCCCAGCATAAGCACCAAAACCACCACCTTCTGCGTAACCGGACATTGCCGTTCCTGTGACGTATCGCTCTGGCTCTCTACTACTTAGAAGGGACGCTTGTTTATAGTGCACGCACGTCTTTCCCGGCGCACCGGACCTTGCAAACCGTTTCCTGCCGTCGCGTTACCTGTCCGTTTGTATATTAGCGTCTCGCACTCCATCTGGCCCGTCATTCGGGGCGTCGACCGCCCCTCTCCAGTATTGATGATTGTCAATGGCACTCACTCGCACGCTCCCTATTAGCCGGTTCTCTCACCTCGTCTCGTATCCTCGTACCCTAAGTAGCATGATTTTTATTTCGTCTGTTAGAGACTCTTCTTGCGCTGTACGTGCCTTCGGAGTACATACATCAGTAACTGATATACCTCCGCGATGCGCGTTATCACCACGTACGTACCGGCCGCTGGAAGACACAGAAGTTGGACTATGCTACGTAACTTTATTCCGTGGACGTAGAGCTCGAGGAGGCAGTAGACCACGCTTCTCAATGTTCACTAGCTTTGCATCGTGCCGTAAGGCGATTCTCATGACGCATGCATGTCTGTACTTGGCTGTCATAGTGGCTGAGTGTATGTTACATACTGATAAGTATTCGTAGGGTAGCATCACTACTTAGCACGGGTGCACAAGCACTGCCCAATGTTTTCATGAGTTGAAATGATGGCATGCGCATCCGCTCTCCGTCTACATTCGGCCGTACACCCGCAACCTTCCAGGTGCTTGAACGACTAGTCTGGTGCTTTGAGATAGAGCTACTCAATTTCATCTAGCGAACCAGACACAGTGATAACAGGACAACGCATGGGGCCTCATACTACTACTAGTGGCATTACTACAACAGTAGTGCCAAGATTAATGTGACATTTTAAGTAGCTCTGGCTTCCGACGTTCATTAATTAGTGTTAGTGCTCGTCGAAGTACTCTGATACGACTCGGTCTTGGGATGGAAATAAGTCAGGCACTCTCTGAGTGCCGCCAAGGCAAACCATATCTGTTGTGAACCTTGTGCAAGAAGAGGCCGCCGGAAGTCATGATGATGTGTTGTTCGTATCGACTGAATGCCATAACTGTAGAAGATAACAGGATATTACCTTCGATAGCTCAGTTGGAAGAGCGTGAGACTGTAATTGGTTGCATAATAACATCTCAAGGTCACTGGTTCGATCCCGGTTCGAAGGATTGTTTTTGACTTTATTGAAACAACGTTGGTTTGATCCCAGTTCGGAGGAGCATCCTTTTCTTTGTTTGGCAGTGATGCCGTCAAGGGAGCACACTATAGGAATAGCCCTTCCGCTACCGACGGGTGGTGTCATTTTGGCTGGCGGCTCATGCCATGCAAGAGCTTGTTTGAAGGGGCCAAGTCTCTAGGAAGACGGTGCGGTTGCTACGTGTGCCAACTACCCCAGGCGGTGGCTGGCGTTGGAGTGGTACGAGAAGCAGGCCTAGAAAAGGATTGCTATGGTACTATGACACGGATTGAAATATACGGGCGTGAGAATGTGATGCGCATATACGCCATTTACCCCACGGCGGATCCATTCAAAGCTGGCTCCTGGCTGGCCCCGTCCCCCAAGTTCTCGCCTCCCACCCTCGCCCTCAAAAGCCGCACCCAGAAACTCCCCCCGTCTCCCATCTTCTACCCCGTCCCCCACCTTCTCAGCCATGTCCGCCTTCCGCGCCGTCTCGAAACACACCCGCTCGCTCTCGCGCACCATGCAGGCCCCCGCGCGCGCCTTCCACTCGCCCTTCAAGGTGCTCGCCAACTCGCCGCTCACGAGCGCGCCCGCGCCGACCGCGATGGTCTACGAGAAGCAGCAGGACGCGTCGCCAGAGCCGCGGCGCTCGCACGCGGGCACCCAGACGTACGTCGTCTCGGAGCCAGACCCCGCCCACACGCCGTACGAAGTGCCCTCCGGCGCGTATCCCACCTCCGCGCCCTACGCCAGCTTCGCCGCCGCGGAGGCCCCCAACCACGGTACGCAACACTCCTCGACTAGTGCGAGCCCTGCTCACCCTACCTTGTCTCGTGCCGTGCCGCAGAATGAGTCCGGTGTCATGACCAGCGGCGCTGTCCGCCATCGCGAGGCGCTCGGGGAGATGCGCAGCGGGAGCGATGGCGGGTTGGGGTTGATGGATGGGGCGACGACCACGGGAGAGAACAGGCTTGCCGATAGAAATCCCTCGCCAAGCGATCCTGCTGTTGCGGCGAAGTGGTCGAAGATGGGCAACGACACTGCTTGGAAGGATCGCAAGTGAGGCAGCGCTGTATGTGTTTGGGATCATGATGGACTCTTCTACCTCTGTTTGTTTCGTTGTTTGGGATTCGTGTTATCGCGTCGGTGTACGAGTATAGTCAGAAGAAGTGGTGGCCACGGCCGAAGTTAATGCATAGACTGTACATATTATCCCCCACACCGTGTTCATGGTCCCCAGGTTACACTCTGCGAGTGGATGGCAGCTGTGGGATAGCGGCTGGCCGCGAACGTGTCTGGGCACAGTGACGTGACCCTAACCGACAGACGGCGACCACCCATGACTTCCATTTCGTCAGCGGTGCCGCGACGCGTCGATCATATGTACAGCCGATCGGGTGCACGATCTCCCTCCGTCGCGCTTGGCTGCTGACTACATTGTGTCTGCCAATTGGCTATACTGGCAAAACCGATCAAAAACCTTAGAGAGGGTTCACTCTAATTACCAGTGTACGACTGTCACCGCGGACATAACTCTCGCAACCTTCGCACATGGACGACACTCCGACGGTTGTATGATAAGCAAATGCAATTTCATTCGAACATGTTTACTATACACAATACATGCAGTGTAGCTATATCAAGACGCCTATCACCGCATATCAGCGCCACAACATGGTCTGCTGAGAAGATAATGAGTACACCACTACGAAAACGAAGCAAGTAGAGAATCAGTGAAAAAGTATTCTAATCAAAGCGCAAGGCTAAGCAACAGCTTCTAGTTGATGATTTTGCATAGATATCATCCGTAGGCGGCAACATGCCGCGTACAACAGCACTCGGAACTCACCTGATGACAACAACAATTGGCGAGCTGCCGAGAGTGCCTCTGATCATGGTAGAAACCCTATGAGCGCAAAGGAAATGAGCATCGGTCATATGACAACGAAGAATAAACAGAATCAGTGGGGGTTGCCCGAGATAATTGAGCTGTGGCGGGCACTTTCGGCAGTAATAGTACGAAGACCGTCGTGATATAACATCATCTAACGAATTCGGAGGATAGCACTTACCCTATGCTCGACCTTGACCCGGCGAGGGATGCAACAGGTCGATCACTTGACATATCAGCACATGTAAGATTACCTGGGGAGAGATATGTTAGCGTCAAGGACACACCAGTATCGAGAGGAAGCTCAGAGTTTTAAAAAAACAGCCAGGAGTTGACATCACAATCGAGGTCCGAAGACCAAGATCAGGCGGTAATTCCATAAATTGCATCACCGTAGTACCACAGAGGAAAGCAACTCACCTCACTATGGCGAAAACAAGGCTGGTTCGACATCGAGACCGGACAGCAACCTAAGAGGAGATACAATGAGTTCGGAGAGGCGAAAGGAGGAGGAAGGGAATGAAGGTATCAGGGGATTGACAGATATATGTAAAGCATCGAACCACAAGGGTTCTCAGATACTCTAGTTTGAATGATATGGTATCATCACATAGAGTATGCGCGAAGGAACGTAAAAACAAGGGTAGCAAAACTCACCTCAAGCGCACCTATTCCTCTCTCGCATCGCCCATGCCTTGGCAAGCTATACTAATACAATAGGTCAGCTTGAAGGGTCACAGAGCAACGAGCGCAAGGTAGAACCGATCAGTGTAACTATGACATAAAATCGGGTCATCGCGTCGACAACCTGGTAAAGGTCGGGACACTGGAAGTAAACGAAAAAGGTATCATCCAGTCGAGTCGGCAGCCAGCGCAGAACGACCCAAAGCATACACGAAAACTCACCATGCACGGACCAGCGACGTTTGCGTTGACGAAAATCACATCGAAGCGGGAGGGTAAAGCGCCGGCTTCGAGAATTTTAGGTGGAAACTAACTTCAGGGCAGGTCGGAGGTAAAGAAGCTGTTCACGTGATGTAACGCATCCGGGCCGAGCCGGACATATCACCGAAGCCAAGTCGTTTACTCTCGGTGTACTCCCTAAGTCCCGCGACATTAATTCCGACCTCGCAGAACCTTGCAATTGGCGGCGTAGTCTGTCCACAGCTCCCTAGAAAGGAGATATCAGCCGACTGCTTATAAGACCCATCACTCTGCTATGATTCCTCGCTTTTGGAGGCCTTCGCGGCACCCGTTATGGTCCAGGACGCTTAACGCGCAAGTACGACCGCTCTCGAGTACAGCAATCCACCCGGTGAACCTGCACTTCGACAAGCTAGTGCCGAAGAATGGGAACGAGACGGACAGACCGCTGGTGATCCTGCATGGTCTCTTGTATGTTCTTCATGACCACTGGGAGGATACGGCACTGATATCTCACAGCGGGATGAAGCGGAACTGGCTCTCGCTCTCGAAGGCTTTCCTCCGCGACCTCGACACGCCCATTTACGCGTTAGTACGTCGCCCTAACGTATGCGCACGTCCGCGTCTGGGCTCACGAAGACATAGGACCTGCGGAACCACGGTACGTCCCCCCACGCGCGGCCCATGACCTACGCGGCCATGGCCGCGGACATCCTCCACTTCTTCCGCACGCACGCCCTCACGAACGTCTCGCTCCTCGGGCACTCCATGTGAGCCCCCGCCCTTCTGCTGTCACGACGGGCGCCGATGCATTGCAGGGGCGGCAAGGTCGCGATGTCCGTCGCGCTCAGCCCGGAGTGCCCGCGCGACCTGCGGCACCTCGTCGTCGCGGACATCGCGCCCGCGAAGGGCGCGCTTTCGCGCGAGTTTAGCGGGTACGTCGAGGCGCTCAAGAAGATCGAGGCGAGCAGGGTGACGAGCCGGAGGGAGGCGCAGGACATCCTCCTGCCGTATGAGCAGGTCCGTTCGCGGGCGTTCTATTGGCGATGTCATGCTGAGTCAGACCAAAATCTAGGACGCGATGACGCGTGCGTTCTTGCTGACGAACTTGAAGAACCAGGGCCATGAGCACCATGCGCTCGAGTTCCAAATACCGTTGGACATCGTCGGTGAGAGCATACCAGAGCTAGGATCGTTTCCGTACGAACCTGGAGAGCGGATGTGGGAGGGGAGCACGCTCTTTATCAAGGGCACGAAGAGCAAGTAAGTTCATGGTTTCGCAGACGATTGTTGGATCGACAGGGCTGACGAAGGGATAGGTACATCAACGACCGCAATATCCCTGTTGCTCGGCAGTTCTTCCCCAGCATGCAGTTAGAATGCTTAGACACTGGACACTGGGGTGAGTCTTTACGGCTCTCTCCTGCTTTCCGTTGTGCTCATTCAGTGCATAGTACATGCCGAGAAGTGTGTTCATGCTCATGTTCTTCTGTCGCCGAGGCTGACAACGTTTCAGGCCTAATGAGTTCAAGCACCTGGTCACAGAGTTCATTCGGACTCACTGACCCGATATACGAGTCTCAGTGTCTTGCAGTACGAACGAGGTGGTCACATATGCTGTGCTTGCTGTTCTGTAAGTGGGCATGTCATTTAATGTGAAGATGCATGGCAAGCGGAACTTTCTCCGAGCTCATCTGTAACCTCGATCTCATTGGTAGAACATTCTGAGCAGCTTCACACAATCTCATTCGATCTTTCAATATATGAGCTGTGTAGTAACAATGGTCTTGCTATTCATGCGGGGGATGTGTTCGGGGATCCTCCTGGCCGCACTGGTGCGGTACGCATGATTGAGATCCGCGAAATCTTATCAGATACTGTCCGTTGGCGCTAAACGGAGCTGTCTCTCGTCCGGGACTCGAAGTTGCAGTGTGACATGCAACGAGACGCACATCATTCTTGTCTTGCTCTCCCATCTTCCCCTCACCCCCAGCATCCAGGAGTCAGTCCCCCATGCCCTCGTCTAAGCGGCACCGCAGCGACGCGGGCTCCTGTCGACGACGCATATACTCTGCGGCAGCCCTAGCCTTCTCGTCTGCGTTCCTCTTTGGGCTCGCGACGAACTTTGAGTGGATTGCTCCCGACTCATGGCCTGCGTTCACACACAAGCC